TACACATGATTATAAATGGTTAGCATAATAAAACATGTGCTACTCTTCTTTATCTGGGGAACATTAGCTGATTTCACTGAAGAATGATTCTAGAGCTCAATGTTTAACATAGAGTTTTAGCAGGGGGGGTTCCTTGCATGTAGTTACATTGCTCTGGCTGCAAATATCCTGCCCTGCCCCCTCCGGAGGCCCTCACCCTACTCTGACTACATTTATGGTCCCTGTCTCACAAAGACATGTATGCAAATGCTCACAGGACCATTATCCCTAAGAGCGCCAAACTGAAAACAGTCCAAATGCCCATCTGCTGAGGAATGAAAACCATGCAATGAAATACTACTCGACAAAAAAAAAAGAAAGAAAAAAAAAAAAGGAATGAACTACTACTGCCTTCAGGCAGCATTTATCATGAGATCAAGATAAAAAAAGCAAAACTGAAAACATATGCTAAGTGCAAGAAGCCAGACAAAAACCTCTCACATTTTGTATGGGTCCATTTACATGAAATTTCTAGAAAAGGCAAATGAGCCACTGAGGGCACAGCATCCCTTTTGTGGTGTTCTTGCCTAAAATGCAAAACCTGAAACTGATCATGAGGAAACAACAAAGCCAAATTGAGTGGCATTCTACAAATAACTGGCCTGTGTTCTTACAAAAATGTGAAAGTTATGAAAGACAAAGCTCAAATACTGTTCCAGACTGAAGGAAACTAAAGAGGTGAAAATGAAATGCAATGTATGATTCTGAACTGGATCCTAGAATGGGGGAAAAATAACTATGAAGAAAAAGACTGGGATAATGGGTGATATCTGAATATTGACTGTGGATTAGACACTACATTTCCTGGTTTTGGTAATCTATATTGTTTTTAAGTTAGAAAATGTCCCAATTCTTAGGAAATATACACTGAATTATTTAGAGGTAAGAGGACATGCAACTTACTCTCAAGTGGTACAGAAAATTAATACACATGTATTTATACAGAGAGATAAAAAGGAAACGATAAAGCAAATGGAGCACAATGTAAGCCATTAATGAATAGATGCATGGGATGCCAGTGCACTATTCTTGCAGTTTGAAATTCTTATATCAAAATAGGACAATTAAAAAACCCCATATATGCTGGGACTAAAGTGTTCTTTGCTTACTTTTCTTCTGCATATCTACTTCCATTACACCAAAAACATCTTTCTCAAACATCAGCATAATCAGATACTGACTGCACTTGGTCGAAAAAGTCTTATGCCCTCTAATGCCAGAGGATAAAGTTCAAATTGTAGTATGGTATTTACAATCCTTTACATCCTGGTCCCAATGTACCTTTCCTGCATTGCTTCTCAGATTGTTCCCCGAATACTTCCAGTCTCTAAGTCTCTGCTTGTATACTGCTGTTTGGAAGGTTGTCCCCTGAAATCCTCTTGTCTTTTGTAGTCCAATTCAAGCGTCTTTTCTGCTTACATTTCCCCTATCTGCAAAAGCAAGCTCCCTCTCTCCACATACTGTGTTAACTTGCCTCACTCCTTTTTTGCACATTCTTACACCTAATGTGCATTGTTAGTTACTGTCTGGCACTTAGTAGGTGCTCAAACTATCTACTGAAGTCCTACTACAATTTTATTCTCTAACTTTCCCAGTAAATATGTAAGATAACTTTCTTTTTAAAGTAATCCAGTAATTACATTTTGATTTGTTAATACAGTACCTGGGCAGGAAATCAAGATTAAACAGTGGAACAACTCTTGGCAGGGACAGATGCCATTGGTTCAAAATATTTTCCATAGTTATTAGTAACTTCCAATCTGAAGCTGCATACCTCTTGGCTACAGGGCCTCCTAACTTCAGAATTTTCCAAATATCTGACTAAATTAGTGAAGGTCTGTGTACAAAGGCAAAAACAGGTATAGCCTTGGGTCTACTGGTGAATACAGAAAAACAGACGGATACTTTAGTGGATCCTTAAATTCTCTGAAAATTTTCTAATTTCCTTAGTCTTAAGGATTTGCAAAATGATGCACCTAGAAACAGAGAAAAACACTTGGAGGCAGGTCCTGAAGGCTCAGGCAAGCCTAAGGAGTACACTGAGTTAAGGAAGACAAGATTAAGAGAGAGGAAATGGGGTGGAAAAACACTTATTAATTGCCTAATCTAAGAGTTTATAGGAGACTGGTGTATAGAGAGGAGTTAGCAATGAGGGGAAAAGGGGACTTTTTCAACACTAGGCCAGACCAGTTACAGATTCTACAGGCTAAAAGTCACAATCCGCTATGTTATCATTGTTTCCAATGCAACCAAAACCAGGCTGTACTTCCTATTTTATAAAGCTGACCAGAAAAATGGACTACAAAACCTTTCTGCATCTGTCTTGTAAGCATAATACTGAATTACAGAACTTCAAAAGTACACCTCTTTGTAAACTTGAATTGATGATAGCACAATCGGATTAATTAAAAACATCCTCAGAAAACCAGACGATATAATTACATAATCCAAGAATTTTGTTTAAACACCATCACATTTCGTGTATACACAAACTAGATCTGGAAATTTGGCATAATCCACTTTATTTCCAGGCCTCTAAACGGGACCGACCCTTCACTGGACGACAGTCCAGCGTCGCTGCCGTCCAGGGGTTTCCAAAGCGCAGACGCGCCCTCGGCCCGCTTGGACCACCGCGCCTGGCCCCCCGCCGCCCTCACGACCTCCCTCTCGTCCCCTCTAGCCCCTCGCCCCCGCCCCTACCCGGTCCTCCAGAGGCCGCCGGAGGGGAAGGCGGCGAACCTGCCCGTCCCTGGGGGCCTTCATCCCGCCTGTACTTCTCCCTGCGCGCCTCCGCGCCCACCCGCCCCGGACGGCCGTGGTGAGGCCCGCGCCGCCGCCGCCACTCGCACTTACTGCGCGGACGGGGGCGACGCTCACGGCCTCGAGCAGCCCCAGCAGCCCCAGCGCGGACGGGGGACACTCCGCGCAGGCAGCTGCGAGCCGGCTACTCCCGGGCGGAACCGCCGCGGCGTCTCCAGGGCAACCGGACGCGCAGGCCACGCGGGATCGAGCGACTTCCGGAGCGGCCTCCCCGGCGCTCGCCGTCCCGCGTTAGCTGTCTCGGTGGGTCAGCTTCGCGCCAAGCCCGTAACGTCATCGGTACTTTCTCCTCCGAGAACCTTTTAAGAGGCCCTGAAGGAGCTCAGGGAACATTTTAACTACATTTCCATGAACTCTGTGATTATACTCGGTTCTGTTCTTTCCATGACCTCAGATGCCCTAAAATAAAGCACATATAAGTGTTATTAGCTCGTTTCCCTGTCTGGGCAGAGACCTTCAGTTTGTAGATCCTGTATTAGGCCTTATGCTACAGGCTGCTTTATTGTCCAAATAACTTTTCAGCCGACTTCTGTTGGCTGTTTTTGTGACAAGAACCTATCTGTTAGCTGTGGTAGATTGCTCCCGTTTTCACAACTCAGTAAGCACTGTAGTAGCGACTAAGACGTTTGCCACCCAAAGGGGAAGCAAGTCAAGCAATGTGATGAATGCTATCGAGGTAAACGTATGCAAATTGGAAAGATAATTTTTGCCAAAGCTTCCCCTTATTATCCCCCAGGCAAGCTTCCCCTTATTATCCCCCAGGCGAACTTAAAAATACGAACTACATGTTAATCAGGACATACACACTTTGTTTAGCATGGGGAGTAAAATGCTCCCCGTCACGCCCAAATTTAGGATGGCCATACTTCCCTTCTGAGGTGACTCGTGGTCTTTTCTCGTCTACCTTCAGTTCTCCATTTCCTTCAAATATGCGTATCTCCTCCCATCTTTAGGAAAAATGCCTAGAAACAGCCTTTATATACTTCTTCCTTCAAGACGATATTCCCAATAAACTCAAACCAACATAATCTCGTACACACCCATATTTATGTAATTTCTGCTGTCACCATCGGATAGAGAATTTTCTCCGTAAAGATACAAGTCGTCACTGTATGTCCAAACCTGGCAGCTTATTTTCATCTTCATTGATTTGACTGCTGCAGTTTCCAAAACTGTGGCCAAATTAGAGCCCCTTTTCTCTTTAGGAAGTTTCACAATTGTGTCCATCCCTGTTTTCTAGCTTCCTGTTCTTACTCTGCTCCATGCACCCTAAGATCAGCTGCATTTAATGTCATTCCTTGAACATGTGCATTTTTACGCTTTAGTCTAGCCTACAGCTCCCTACCCTAATTTTTCCCTGAACTTGATAAACTTATCTATCGACAACATGGTTTATATACAACTTTCTACACAGCCGCTTTCCTTTTTCCAAAGCAGAATTAGGCAAAACCTTTTGTGCCTCTCTATTTTTATTCATCCAGATGTGCTCCTTGAATACTGGGAATGATGGCTTTCCCATCTTCTAGTGCCAGTAAAGTGCTTTGTTACACTGTAAAAGGTGAACACATGTTGGTTAAATAATTGAGTATCTCACAAAAGTAAAAAAAAAGTCTTTGTAATGAGTTTTGGCTAGACTTCTTTAATAAGCTTTAACTGTACAATTAATTTTATGCAAACCCTTTTACCCTTACATAAAACACCTTGAAAAAGGAAAATACTGTATGGCAAAGCAAGAAATTAAGACAGGAAATTATTAATTTCTTTTGTTGCAATAGACGGTGAAAATCAGAATTTGAAATTCCAACTCCTGGAGACAATGTATCTAACATCAGGAGGAAAAATGCTAAAGTGTATTTTAGAGGGCAGTGGATATGCTGCATGTATTCTGTGTAATACGTAGTTTAGCAGAATGGTTATTGAGTACTATACACTTTGCAAGTGCCTATGTTCAAATCCTAGCTCTACCACATACCAGCTACCTTCTTGGGCAAGTTATTTAAACTTTCTGTGTTTCAGTTTCTTAATCTGTAAAATAGTGTTAACAATGTCTACATCCTTCAGCTGTTACGGGGCTTCTGTGGGAGAATCTATGTAAAGCATGTAGAATAACACCTGGCACACAGATATATGTATTGGGCACTTAGTGTTATTATCTTCCCTCAAGTAATACTCCTAGTGTTTATCCATTATTTTATGTAACATACACTTTCATCTGTCTTCTAATAGTGGTGAAAACTGGTATCTGTCCTTTATTTCCTGGTCTCTGCTGACATCAATGACATACCTGTAAGCTGAAAGCTGCCAATAGGCCCAGAAAAAACTGGTCTCATTTTTATCAACACTAGTGTCCAGGAAACTAGTTAACAAGAGAGACAGCTTGAACTTCCACGGAGATGAAATAGATGGTTTCCAACATTTAAGTGAGTGGCTCTCTTCCTTTTATGTGAATAGAGATCCTTAGTTACTGGGGTGACCCTCAATATTTGCATTTTTAAGTATTAAAATTAAAATTAAATATTGTTCTCAGGTACAGGATCCTTGGACCACACTCAGAAACATTTGTACAACTTTATAAAAATACACGTTACTGGGCTTCACACCCAAAGATTGATTCCAGGGGTCTGTATTTTCACAAAGCTCATGAGTAACACACAACCAGCTGTTTTCTTTACTTTCTAGAAATACTTCTAAGTGCTTGACAGTTAAATGTGATGGTTAAACTTTTTTGACATGTGAACTTTCATATACTTACAGAACTTAGAAACAAGAAAAAACAGTGGCCCAGAGAAAGGATCAACAACCTTGTCAATAAATGCCAACAATAGAATCTTGATTTTTTGAAAATTTTTTCCATGACTCTGTTTGCCAACAAATTCATAATGTTACACTGGTAAATACGAGTTTTCAAAACAGTCATTAATTCACACATTAATGCTAAGATTAGTCACAGTGTATTTATTTGGGAAAAGTGATATATATAAACAAGCTTATGATTATTAACATCTGTATCATTTAGAAGTAACATTTTTAGATAAGGAATAGTTCTAGAGTCAAGTAAATTATCCAAGGTCACCATGATGGGCAGTGGCATTAGCAAGAGAAGAAACAGTGTCCTTTGACCCCCAATCCTGTTCTTGCCACCTAACCTTCCCCTTCCTAACCTCCTAGAACTGCATTCCCCAACTCACTCCCTTCATTTCTCTAACCCAGGAGTCAGTAAATTTTTTCTATAAAGGGTCAGATGGTAAACATTTTAGGCTCTGTGGGCCATACAGCTTTCTTTCAACCACTCAACTCTGCTATTGTATTGCAAAAGCAGCCACAGACAACATGTGAATGAATACATGTGTTGTGTTCCAATAAAACATTTATGAAACGTGGCGAGCAGGATTAGGCTGAGGAATGTAGCTTTGCTGATGCCCGCTCTAAGCAAAAGACCATGAGTGTGTAATTGATTTTCCTGATCAGGAAGCTGAAGATTCTATAAAAGACGCCCTTTTCTCAAATGTGGGAATATTATTCCTTTATGAAACTGGGATGACAGATCAAATAAAAATATGACCTGAGGGACCAGAATGGTATTTAAGAATTGAATGCAGAGTAATTAAAAATTTTTTTTCTTCTTAATATATTTTTGACCCACTGTATACATACTAAGCCAGATGATGAGCTACTATACAACAGCATGTTAAAAAACATGTTTATTTTACACTATGTACAATCAGGAACATATTTAAAAGCATTATCAATTAAAATAAATGAAGACCATACATCACAATTTAGTTTGTTCTTAGTGTATACACTCACATTAAAATATAAAGAACATATACCAAAAGAGGGCCAAAAGTGTGCATTTTGCTAAAACTTGGGATATATATATTCCATTGGAAAAAAGCAATCAAAAATGATTTTAACCAAAACTAAGTTCCTGTGATGTATAATAACCATTATATTGTTTATATGAGGTAGTAACTAAATTATTTGCCATGTGTTAATAATCTAAATCAGAAGAAATATGAAAATGATCATAAAATAAGGCCAACAAAAGTAAAAATTCCACTAGAAATTTGAACCACTTCCTTCTATGGAATGTTATATAGTTCTTCAATGTGATTATATGAAATGTTTAGTGTGGACTCTTTAATAATGCTAATTTATTCTTTGTGCATACTGTGATTCAAACAAATGCAGTGTTACATCATGGTACTACTATGCTGTGATTCAAATGTTTTTCAAAGGTATTGTGCTTAAGCACAGACAAGCAATCTTACGGAATTTTGCTTAAATATCAAAAGACCAGTTACTGCAACAGGTGGTAAATTGGTTTGTTTCACACAGAAAACAATCCAGATACATTTTAAAAAGATGTTGTGGAGCCAAATGCCTACTGACAATGTCACAGCTTACTTTTGTGACTTAATACATCACAGATCAATACTTGTGCAACTATAAACACCAGTGTACTTGCATTAAAATTAAAAAGATTATAAAATTACAGCCTCCATTATAATTTTAAAAGTTAACAAGATTTATATTCATATTACTAAATTACATATAACAAAAATACAATAGTGTTAAACGGACTGTTCATTGCCAGCATCCCCTTTTGTAATATAGCCACACCCAAGAATATACTAAAGAATTCTTAAAATATTAACCCCCAATGGCATTTTTCATCAACATTTACATCTGTACAGATAAGACACTTGTACATCTCATAAAAGTAAATTATCTACATAAATTCTTAGTGTATGTCTTCAGCAATATGAAGTTTCACAGAAAAATACTGCCTATATGTACAAAGATTACATAACAATGAATTAAGCACTTGTGTGGTTCAATATGCTAAATACATCCATACCACTTAAAACAAAAATTTTTCCATCTTGTCTCATGCCACAATAAATTACAAGAAACTGAAGTCAGGTTACTGCAGCTTTTTTTGTACAGCTTCAAGCATCCATTAATGTTGCAGTGGCAGTGTTCTTTCTATAGTTAACTGTCAGAGCACATTTCTCAGTAACTATTTTCATGACCCGCCAGGATGTATAAATTGCTATTTGCTGTGGGGTTATCAGTTGGCCTACTTTCCAAAACCACGACCCTAAAGGCAATAAACAAACAAAATATAAAAAAGTTATTCCTGAAAACTAGTATTAGCAGAAAA